TAGTTGGCTACCATAAGTATCCCTGGATTTTATCTGGCCCCTGCCATAGTACCTGGACCTCACCCCAGGAATATTTGTATACAATAGCTTTTTCTCTATGTTCCTTTTGCATTTTTTTAAGCTTACCTCAGTGCACTCATGTTGTACTTGCCCTTTTGTGCTTGGCTTACTTCGCTTAGCATAATTTCCTCCAGTTCTTCCCATATGCCGATGTGCTTCATGTGTTCATCACTGCTTTTTAGCGATGCGTAGTACTCCATTGTATGTATGTACACAGTTTTTTAATCCATTCATCCATTGATGGAAATTTGGTTTGTTTCAAACTCCTTGCAATTGTGAACTGTACTGAGATGAACATTGGAGCACAGGTGTGTAGCCATGAAAACCTTCATTTTTATTATTACTCAAAAACACATATTTTCTAATGCTTAATAACATAGAAAAGGAAAACATAGCTATAAAAATCAATTAATTTCTTTTTATATTTTGAAAAATTATCAGAATTATAATGCATTCATATATTTTCAGAAAAAATGAATATTTTCATAATATAGTCAATTCATTAGACCTAGATCAAGTGATGTTACATAAATGAACCTGATACAATAAAATAAAATGGTTATTGACTTCTGAGAGGTAAAGTAGATGCAGTTTGTAATTATCAATATATCCATTATAGTTTCTAAATAATGAAAGAAAAAGACAAAAAACCTTAAGTAAGAAGAATATTTTACATTTATTTTAGGTCACTTCAGTGGAATTTAATAAAAAAGCTTTTTCCTGATGACTTCAAGAAGAACCAGGATCTTCGGAAACTGTAAGAAAAAAATTATAATTCCTGGTATGAAATAATTAACTACTATTTGGAGGTAGAAAACCAACACTCTATCACTGTTCAAACCTAATCTCATTGCTTCAGATAATTGTTTAGCTGCTAGTTTAGGACTGCAGGTAACATTATTCTGTGAGTAGTTGCTAGAAGCTGTTCTAGAAAAATCTCAGTTACCTTCTTCTCTAAGCAAACTGGAAGATATGCACCATGAATCCTCCCACTACATTTACCAAAAGGAAATCCCCAGGGAACTTTTTATTCTTACATTATTTTAACATGAGTTGCTTCAATGCCCAAATTAAGACAAAGTTGACAATCTTTTGTCCACTAGACTCTGGATTTTAGATCCTGAAGAACATTCCTTTCTATGCTATGTTGCAAATTTGTTCATCAATTAAGACAGGAAGTCGTGGTTTGAAACCTTGGAACACATGTTACTTTGGGACTTGACTTCATTTTCAGATATGCATTGTAGATGCAAAACCCAGTAGAATGCAAAAATTATGGAACAATAACATTAATATCACTATCCAAGTAAAAAAATTGCTGAAGATAATTTTTAAATGGTTGCAGCAATGGATTTTCAGGGAGCTGTCAGAAATTCAAGCTGGACATGGAATGAGAGGCACCATTGTTGATGTCAGATGGATCTTGCCTGAAAGCAGAGAATACCAGAAAAATGTTTACTTGTGTTTCATTGACTGTGCAAAGGCATTCAACTGTGTGGATGACTAAAAGCTATAGAAAAGATTCAAAAGAATGGGAATTCCAGAGCACTTCATTGAGCACATGCAGAACCTGTACATGGACCAGGTGGCAGCTGTTTAAATGGACAAGGAAATGCTGCATGGTTTAAATTCAGGAAAGGGGTGTGCTCGTGATATTTCCCTTCACTCTACTTTTTCAATCTGTATGCTGAGCAAATAATCTGAGATGCTGAACTCTGAAAATGAATGTATCAATATTGGTGGAAGGCTTATTACCGACTTTATGAAATATCCTTTCTTAACTGAAAGTGAAAAGAACTTGAAGCACTTGCCGATAGGATCAAGGATTGAAGCCTTCAATATGGATTATAACTCAATTTAAAAACAAAATATCATCACAAAAAGACATGGAAAATGGAGGAAAGATTGAAGCTGCCAAAGATTCCACTTTGCTTGGCTCCACAGTCAGTGGTCATGGATGCCCTAGTCAAGAAATTCAATGGCATTCTGAATTGGATAAATCTGAACAAGACCTCTTAAAGGGAGAGAGAAAAAAGAAAAGAAAAGAAAGAAACCTCTTTGAAATGGTGAAGAGCAAGGATATTATACTTTGAAGACTAAGGTGTACCTGATCCAAGCTGTAGTATTTTCAATCACTTCATACATGTGTGAAGTTAGACAAATAAGAACACTACAGAAGAATTGATGCATTTGAATCACGGTGATGGTGAGGAATTTTAAAAGTACCATAGACTGCCCAAAAAAAAAACAAGCAAAACTCTCCTGGAAGTGATATAGGTAGGATGGGCCTTAGAAGTAAGGTTGGTAAGACTTCACTCACACACTTTGGACATGTTAAGAGGAGAGACCAGTCCCTTGCAAAGGACATCACCCGTGGTGAAGCAGAGGGCCAGCTAGAAAAGAGGAAGCCCTCAATGAGATTGACACAGTGGATCAAATAGATTAAAACATAACATGGGATGGGATGGGGCAGTGTTGCATTCTGTTGAACATAGGGTCATTACGAGTCAGAAACAACTCGATGGTACTGACCAACAAGAACAACAATAAAAATTAAAATTCTACCAAGATGTGAATGCAACATGCTGGCGTGGAGTTAGGGAACCAGTGGAGAGTTCCGAGGGGCCGGCTCCAATCCCAACTACGTGGACACCTCCCCCTCCCCCCAGAAGAATTTATTTCAGATGACAGCACTGAATCTGCAGCTCCGGGAGAGGGACATGTCTGATCAGAGCACACGGGAGCAAATGAAGGAGGAGGAAGAGAGAGTGGAGCACATCCTGGCCCACCAACCCTTGAGAATGATATTCCCGCTCAGAGCAGCCAATGCACAGAGAAAACCACATGGCCAGCCCCACTATGAGACACGACACCCATCACTGACCCATAGCCCTACAGGGGCAACACTGGAGACACAGTGTGGGAATTCCGCCCGATCTGATCCCACCACACCTAGGCAAAACACTAAGGGTGTGCAACAGAACAGCAAGGGAACAGAGCAAGGAAGTCCCCGGGGAATACCAAAAATAGACTTTGGGCCCTGGGCTTGGCGCCCCATCAGACTCTACCGGAAAACACACCTAAAGGCCAACCAACAATACTTGAACTAGCTACCAAAAAAAAAAATTCTAATGAAAATGGCTTTTCAGAATTGGATTCTGAACATAACCAACAGAGATGAGCTTTTCAACAATTATGCCTGATGCATTTTAGTTTGGCCCCGAGGAGCTTCCTTTCAGTTTAGGGTCATACGCATCTGCTGGTATTCACTTTCAATGGCCTGGGTGATGAAAACCTGGTATTCGGGACCACTTTGCACTAAATCATATGGTTCAGCTGTTGGGTTTAGCTATTCGTGCCTAAATCTAGTTTTGTTTTTCATTCCTGTATTGGTTTTATGCCAGGAAAATTTGGTATCTCAATAATGACTTCAAAGTTTTCTTATTGACAAGAGAAGTATCTGCTATAGAACCAGAGGAATAATAAATCCATTTCATTCATTGAAATGTCATAAAAACTTAGATAATCAACAGAAACCAAACACAAACACTGCCAGTGAATATATTCTGACACATAGTAGTCCTATAAGACAGTGTAGAACGGCGAACTGCTCCATAGAGTTTCTGTGACTGAAACTCTTAAAGGGAGCAGGCTGCCTCATCTTTCTCCTAGGGAACAGCAAATGACTTGAACCATCGACCTTTAGGTAAACAATCCAACACTTAAACCAGTGGTCACCCAGGCTCCTAAATCAACAGAAAAGCTTAAGTGTTTTCACATACGAAAATAAAAATTCTAATGAGAATTATTTCCCAGAATTGAATTCTGAATATTATCAACGATAGGCTTTTCAAAAATTAAGTCTAATACAAACACTTCAAGAACATACATTCTTATTCTGTGTTCTGATTTCTGGAGTAGGAAGAATTTTCCTAATCTGTAGCACCACCTCGTGTCCATGTGTTTCAAAGGAGTTACAAGCATGAATCGGAATTCCAAAATTCAGTTTTAAATAACAAGGGAATTTTGCACTTTGCATAGTAAATACTAAAATAAATTCTGCACAGCCAAATATTAAATGATTAAAATAACCTAATCAGAATCTTTTTTCTAATTTTGTTTTCTAAGGTACAGCTTGGCTCAACCTCTGGTCAGTGCAGTCTGTTACTTAGTAGATCTTTACTACAGTCAAAAACAAATAAACAAATGCATGGTAAAGTCTTTCTGTACATTGGTAAAAAAGATGAATTACCTACACCATGGTTGGATCCAGAACATATTGGGTGAAATTGTTAGATGCATGGTAAATTTAATTTAAGTAAACATTTAAAATCAAAGTCTATCTGCATGCTGGGAAAAGAGGTACTCTCTTATAGTCAAAATTGCTGATTACCTCAGAGTTCATTTGTGTTGATTTTTCTCTTGATTCTCCTAAAATGTGCAATAGATTGCATATAAACTAAAAAAACAACAACAACAACACGATGCCATAGTGTTGGTTTTGACTCTTAGTCTCTGGCCCAATACTGTATATCTTTACTAGAGCAAACAGCCTCATCTTTCTCCTGAGGAGCTCATAGTGGGTTTGAACTAATCGCCTTGTGGTTAACAACAATAGTTAACCCGCTACACCACAAGGCACCTGCATATAAATTCAGGACACCCTAAAAGAGGTTTGTGTCCCTCAGTCAGAATAAGAAGTTAGGCTGGAAGCACACCAGCCTGTGTGATCACAAGGTGTCAACAGGATCAGGTATCAGGCATCAGAAGACCCAAAACAATCATATCTATATGAAAGAGAGAGGCCGGAGTGGAGACCAAAGCCCAAATGTAGACAATTGGACATCCCTTCACAGAAGGGTCACAAGGAAGGGACAAGTCAGCCAGGGTGCAGTATAGCACCAACGATATATACAACATTCCTCTGGTTCTTTAATGCTTCCTCCCCCAACTATCATGAGTGCAGTTCTACCTTACAAATCCCGCTAGACCAGAGCATGTACACTGGAACAGAAAAGAGCTCTTAACATAGGAAATTCAGGAAAGACAAACCCTTTAGGAACAGTAATTGGAGTAGTGATACGATGAGGGTAGGGGGAATGGTGCGGGGGAGAAAGAGGGAACTGATTGCAGGGATCGACATACAACACACATGAGTACGAACAAAAGAAACGTGGGTGAAGGGAGACAGCAGTTGGTGTAAGATATGAAAATAATAATCATTTATCATTTATCAAGGGCTTAAAAGGGGCAGGGGCAGGGAGGGGTAAAAAGAGGAGCTGATACCATGGGCTCAAGGAGAAAGAAAATGTTTTGAAAATGATGATGGCAACATATGTACAAATGTGCTGATACAATGGATGTATGGATTGTTATGAGAGCTGTTAGAGCCCTCGATTTATTAAAAAGAAGTCAGGCAGGATTCTTTACTGATTCCCACCACCTGGGGAACACAAAGTACATGCAGAAGCACAAACAAGCCTTCATTTGGCTACAATGGATACGACTTTCTGCACTCCTATCACTATAGCCTTTGACCTCCAGGGAACTCAAGGTCAAACTTCCAAGTCTGCATCTTGTATGGACATTGTGTTGGCAGTCTAATGCACATTTTTGTAGCCCTGATACATTTTAATTACATATTTTATTTTTCTGGCTTTCGTTTTCATGGATACGTCCTATAAATAGGGTCACTATGAAGCAGAATCAACTCAATGGTAGAGAGTGTGGTTGTGTTTTTGTTTTTTTGATAAGCTGCTTTAAAGGCTAATTTTTGGAATAAAGTTGAGCATGTAAGATTAATAAGATAAATATGATTGATTATCAGATTTGTAATTCACATGATTTTTAATTAGCATTTGTAATAATTTGTCATTGACATGTAATTAACATGTGTTTGGGGGATTAATGATATCACAGGCGTGTAATTTTGGTAACACTGTATTGAGCACTTTTAAGTTTGAAAAATTACAGCACAGGAGTGTTAAGGCTGGCTTCTAGAACTATCTGGTTAGTGAGTGTTTTCTTATGCATTAAAATTTTATTCCTCCAAAATTCAAATGTTCATTTTAGCTGGTCTATAGGCTTGCCTTCATAACTAGAATTTCTAAATAATTAGTCAATCACGTGTTTATTTTTATCAAAATGAACCGACAAGAATTTCCAGCTTCAGGAATTTATTTCATGATGCTTACATTTTTAATAATCATCTTCACAGGTATCTGCAAAACAATAAAATTCAAACTGTACACATACATGCTTTCAGAGGGCTGCACAATCTCAATAAACTGTAAGTATCAAGCCTATCCACTTGCCCATTCCACAGTAATCGGTCAGCCTGACTCAGCCCACGAGTACTTCTGCATGGTGGGTTGGAGCAACAGATTTTCAGTCAGCTAGCTATGGGTATCTGAGTCCTGACCTCATCACTTATAGAATCAATTCATAAGACCTAATCCAAATGACACTAAGACTATAAGTATAATATAATAAAATATAGTGAGCTTGTGCATCGTTCCCTCCACAGTAAAACCCAAATTATAATAGTCCCTACCTCAGGGGCTATTTTAAGGGCCAAATAAAAAGAGGAGCTTACATGTCTATACCTCAGATATTGTGAGTAGTACATAGTAAGAGGTCAACATACATTAGCCTTGGTGACAGGTATAATCATTGAATAATCTTAAAACAAAAAAGCCTTATGTTAATATTATATAGGAGAAAACTCAGATTTCCCCAGATATTATTTCATTATTCCTACTTTTAGCAACATATAATATGTAAATTACTGACTAAAAAGAGCAAAGCTTTTAAAAATAGATTTTCTCCAAGTTACGTGTCACTGAGTTCTGTCAAGTATTGAAACAGTCTCCAGAAGTAACTTCATAGAAACAACTCAAAAGCACATAAACAGTTTCTTGTATTTCCATTTCTGTACTTTTTTCTTAAACATCACTTTTTAACCTAACTCAAAAAGCTCATTCCAATTAGACTGTGGTATCAGAGTTCAGAATTCAGTTAAGAGGATCACCTAATCTTTAATTATCAAAATGGAAGGGGTCACAAGGAGACTTATAGCCTTAACAATAGTCCTCCCCACACACCCCTCACTTCTCTCACATCCCTACTCTGTATATCTTCAAAAGTTGCCCAACATTAGTGTTGAAGTATTCTCATCAGGATCCCAACTACCTTTCTTTGTAACCATCCTCACCTCCGCCAAACCTATTCAAATCTCACTAAATGGTATCTCCTTTGTTTAATATGCAAGCCATGTGAAGGTAGTACAAAACTGAATAGTAATTTTTAAAAAATTATTGTACTTGGGGTGAAAGTTCACAAAGAAAATTAATTTTCCATTCAACAATTCATACGTCTTTGGTCTCTTGACATTGATTGCAGTGATCATAACCTAACAACACGCTTCCCACTTCCTCCATTCATCTTTCTTGCCTGTCCCTTCCTGCGTTCTGAACTGTACCCCTTGGCAAAAATGCTCCTTTCAGTCTCAGACAGTTGATTATTTTAAGGAATGGGTAAGGCTTTAGTGTTAATTTTCACCTTATAAGTCTGTCTACTGCTTGACTGAAAGTTGATCCCAAGGAATGAGTTCGCCTTAAGTCTGGAAGGGTGTCTGAAAGCTGTAGTCTCAGGGATTCCACAGGCTCTTCAATAAACTTGTTACTCAATTTTTTCATGGTTTGGAGTTTCAGTCCACATTTTTCTCCCAGTTTATCCAGGCCTTCCTACCGTGATCCCTTTCAGAGAAGTCAGTAGTAGTCACCAGGAACAACCTACAGCTTCTGCTCTGAGGATAGTGGAAACTGAGGTGCATGCGATCCCTCGCTTCTTTGGACTAATTGTTTCTATAAGTTTTTGATTTTCTTCACTCTTGTTTATTCCAGAAGGGGAGAACCAATCATAAAATCTTGGATCACCACTCAGAAGCTTTGTAAATTTTTAAATGCCTTCCTCTCTTTGTCCATAGCACTGGAACATTGTTTGGGTGGTCACATACTTCTAGTTTTTCTTACATAATCATCAGATACTGGCTATTTGTCATCCTCTGCGGTGACAGGGGCTATCACTTATACGTGTCTCTTTCTTCCATGTTACTTTCCTAACCTGGTCACTGGCAGTCTCGACGCCAGACTCCAAGCCCCCCGAAGAAAGCTATGAAACATCTAGAACCTTACTGAGGGTACTCAGAACAATTTCATGAGTACATGAATAAATAAATGAATAAATAGGTTAATTAATTAGTTATGGAGAAATTGTAAACTAAGTATCACAAAGTAAATGATAAGAAAATTTATGAGCTTCTGTGGCAGGAGAATGC